TTCTGGAAACTTCCGTTTACAGGAACGCAAATATCATGCGTTTCCTCTTTGAACAGCCCCCCTCTCTTTCTTTTTTTGCCCTTGACCCAGCTCTTATGGCTGTGGCAGGGCAGGGTCCCTGGAGCCATGCACCCATGGCATCCCATCCCTGTCCTTTCTCTACCGATGGATGGGGAGCCCCCCGGTAGCACAACATTATACCCCCCCTTTTTCCCATGCTGTCACATGGATTCAAAGCTCCTCTGCCAGCTACATCCCAAAAATGAATGAAAGAAACCATATTTGAGTTGAGGAGGTGATTGCATTGCACAGGGTCCTCTCGTGCCACGCTGCAGGTGGCACAGACCAAAGCAGGAGGCAGTCAAGGAACCTGTCCAGACCTGGCCTTTGACTAAGGAGTGAGGGAACAGGGTGGAAAATGAAGTCTAATATACCTGTACGATGAAAAACCTTCCATTTTACATTGTGTTAATTCATTGTGTGCTTCAGTGTGAAAACCACAGTGAGAATGATACTGGAATGTGTGGTTTTGTGGGTTTTTTTTTGTCACCGCCAATACTTCATGCCAGGTGGAGGGGCCTTTTACACGCCTGAGAAATCCTGCAATTTGGGGGCTGCACAACTTCAAGGCGACGGGTCCCGAAACTACTTAAGAAAAATCCCGTTCTGCCAGACAAGCTGCGGCAGAAGGAGATGAAGTTATTTGCACGGGGGGACTTTGCCTAAAGCCAAACAGCAGAGGAACACCTGTCCCAGCCAGGAGAGCTCACCCATGCAGGGCTGCACACGCTCGGGGCTCCCTCCTGCCACTGTGTATTTTGGCTTTTGGGGAGTTTTTTTGAAGCAAGACTCATATTTGCAACTGGTGCATAGAATCATAGAATGGTTTGGGTTGGAAGAGACCTTAAAGATCATCCAGTTCCAGCCCCCTGCCATGGGCAGGGACACCTCCCACCAGACCAGGTTGTTTAAAGCCCCATCCAGCCCCCTGAGCATCTCAATGGAGACTGTAGGAATCACTTTTATGGAAGATTTGAGGGTGATTTCAACCCCCGTAATGCACAAGAGTAACTGGGCCATGGAGGAAGAGCACAATGACCCCCATAGGTTTAGGAATCACCACTAAATTCATCTCCAGGTGCCTAGCTTGGGCTTTGCACTATAAACAGACCTTGCCACACACCCTCACCCACATTCCTTGGTACAAAGGATGAGGAGTTCCCTACAAGCCTGTTCCACGGGGAAGTGCCCTCTGCTCTGAAGTCAATTCCCACCAGCCCTTGAGTCTCACAAAAGTGACAAGAAGGATAGGATGCAGCTGTATGCCCGAGGGAACCAGAGACACAACAGCTTTCCACACTCGGGGACTTCTTTGGGTGGAGGGTTTTCTTCTGGGCTGAGGAAATTGATGCATCCATCAGAAATGAAGCCGATGCTGACTAAGAGGTTTTTCCTCTTCCCGTTACATCCTCTGCAGCTCGAGAGGGAATTTCCTGCCCGGTTGGGTTTCGGAGAATCCATCCCACACTCTCAGCACATGGCTGAACAGGAAGGAGCCCCAGCATAAGGAAAGGGCAGATGAGGAATGTGCCAAAAAACCACAGCATCCTTATGGGGCACCTGGTCCTCAGACCAGGCTGTCCCCTGAGCTCCACGCTCCCCTCCCTAACAGGCTGGGCTTTAAGGAAAAGGAGCCAGCCCGTCTCAAAACTCCCAATTAAATGGTGAGACCTGGCAATGCTCTTGTTGCCAGACAAGAGATGAAGCTGCAGGGTAGAAGCATCCTTCCTTTCTCGCTGGGCTACAGCATCAACCTAGTTCTGTACAGGGGGGACATGACCTTTTCTACATCAAGGGCGTTCACAAGGTTTAGGCAAAAGCACATTAATAACCAGTTTCCATTTTCTGCACTTTCTTCAGGTTTGGACACCAAGAACAGGTACCACTTTTGTTTCTTGCTTGTGGGCTGTTTTTGATGAGGGCTGGAATCGGTGGTGTCCACCCTTTGGAAAGCTTCACTGCTGTTTAGTAATACAACCACAAAATGTTAAAATCTCTCTTCAGGTAGACACTTTTGCACTGGAATAAAAGTCCTAAGCATGCTATGGCTTTTTTCTGATCCAGTGCTAAGCTATTCAGCTGTAAAACGTTTTGATGCCAATACAGTCAATACGCTTGAGTTGAAAAAACACATAAAATGCAGTTATGCCACTAAAACTTTTCCAGTGTAGACAAAAATAACCACGTACAACACCTAATGACAGCTTTCTGGGGCCCTCTAGACTCTAAACACTGTCACGTATTGTGTCAACACAGAGCACTTCCAATATTAATTATCAGTTTCACACACACAAACACACCCTCCTGTGAGAGTACCTAGAGCATTAAAATCTTGCTCTCATTGCCAGCCATTTTCATTCTGTGTTTGCCCTAGCCCTGGGCTTCTGCGCATTCCAGGGGATGTTTTATTCTTGTTCAAAAAAACTTACTATCACTGGGTTATTTTATTTACTGTATTATGGTAGCACAATCATTTCTGTTGGCCCCAAGCGTTTGTTCAACACCAGAGGGTAAACCAGGCTTAGGTTTAAAAAAAAACTTTCCTTAGGAACCTAGTTTTCCGACGGCATCAAACACTCTGCTCACTACAAATTACATACGTTTCTGAGCAGTCTGAGTTCCAGCTATATACAGACACCAGCATAGTAGCTTTTTTCCCCTTCTCCAAACTAGTTATTTAAAACAAGTAAGTCTCTGGGTGGTACAGGAGTGTGTTCAGTAGTGTACAAAACAGCGGAGCTTAATGGCAGGAAGGAAGGAAGGAAGGAAGGAGTGTGTGATGGTGTAGGGGCAGCAGAGCTGGAGGTGAGAGGGTACCACTTGATGCTCAGAGGGCTGGAGCACCTCTGCTGTGAGGACAGGCTGAGAGAGTTGGGGTTGTTCAACCTGGAGAAGAGAAGGCTCCAGGGAGACCTTATATACCTTCCCAATACCTAAAGGGGGCTACAGGAGAGATGGGGAGGGACTTTTTATCAGGGAGTAGAGCAAAAGGAAGAGGGAGAACGGTTTTAAGCTGAAAGAAGGGAGATTTAGATCAGATATTAAGAAGAAATTCTTTCCTGGGAGGGTGGTGAGACACTGGAACAGGTTGCCCAGAGAAGCTGTGGCTGCCCCATCCCTGGAGGGGTTCAAGGCCAGGCTGGATGGGGCTTGGAGCAACCTGGTCTGGTGGGAGGTGTCCCTGCCCAGGGCAGGGGGTTGGAACTAAATGATCTTTAAGGTCCCTTCCAACCCAAACCATTCTATGACTTTGTCCCCAGAATTCCTCTGGCTCCTAACAGTGCTACTGAATTCAGCCTAAGGCAGCACCTGCAAATTACCCTTCCACTGCTCTAATAATTTAAGTCTGCCCACTGCAGCTGGAAGCCAGAGAGGGTGAGCCTGGGCTGGTAGCACGGGTAGAGCCTGGCAGCACAATGTGCACCAAGCACACAGCAACAACCACAGCGATGCACACCCTTCCCCCGGCCTGGGACTCTCACTGCAGGAAACTGGGACCTCCTTCCCCGAGGAAATTTATGGCTTTCCTTCTCACCAGCCCTGGAAACAACCCTCTTTGGCTTTCCCAGAAGATCAGGAGCAGGCACTGGGTGCATGATGGGTGCACGGAGAGCTACAAGGAGATTGGGTGCAGTCCACAAACAGTCTATCAATCTCCCAGCCTGGGGAGGAAGGATGCCTTCTGTTGGATGACATGAGTCTAGGAGCAAGAAAATAATAACTCAATAGAAGAGCAATGTGGTGGGGGAAAGGGGCCAATTTAACACCCTGTCTTTAAATTGTGGCCGGTGCCACCAGCAAACTCCAGTGACTGCTACAACAAAAAGTCAGTTCACTTCAGTTGGTATCTGGCCCGTGGTGTTTGCTGCAGAGGCACTGGAGAACGGGTACCGGGGGGAGCAGAGCGAGGGGGCAGCTGGGCTGGATCTCCCCTGACAGCTCCCCTCCCACCCCGATTTCTCATGCCATTTGCAGTAGGGCTGGAGCACCCACTGGCTCTCTGCAGCCTCCTCGGGGCCACTGACTCTGTGGACAGCTGAAGTCCACAGAATTAGGCCGGTTTAACCGGTGGAGCAGCAACATTTTCTCCTGACAGCGCTCAAGTCAGCAGAAGTCTGGGTGGGAGAGTAACGCCAGGACTGACGGGTGCTCTCTTTGCAAGCAGAGACCCCATATAGGTTATGGGGCTGTTGGTTGTAGGGATCTCACATTGCTTATACATAGCTTAGGAATAATTTCCCAAGGCAGCTCTCCGGTGAGCAAAGCCATGCCCAGGAACATGCCAAAGCTCTTCACGCCTGGCCTGTGTGTTTGGGGTTCACTCCAATGGGGTGGCACCACAAGCCTGCCCGTGGGAGCTGGCGTTTGGGACAGTCCTGTCACTTCCCCCCTCACCCCTCTTCCCCATGGTCGTAGCTGGGGCTGCAGGCTGAGACAGAGTTTTGCATTACGAACACATAACGTGCAATTTAAATACAGAATAAAAAAAGAAAAAGAAAAGAAGAAAAAAACCCCAAAACTAACCACCAACCCCACTCTACTCTCCCCTCCCCACCCAAAACATTCCAGCCTTTCCTTTCCTACCACTTGAGGAGGGGGGGGGGGCTGTTTATTGACATTATGCAAGCGCTGAAATATTTTCCTTTTTCTTCTCTCCCGTCCCCTTTTTTCTCCCCTTTCTCCCTCCTCTTTCCCTCCTCTCTCTCTCCGCCGGGGGGGGTTGCGAAGGTAGCTCAAACCCCTCCAAGTCACCTCGGCTTATCAGCCCAAGGAGATGCATTCCTCTGGGCTGCTCCCTTTCTAAATCACTGCTGGCCGGGAGCCCGCTGCCCGCCCCGCAGCCTCCGCACCGCCCCCGCCATGCCCTAACCCCGGGACCCCTCTACGCCCGTCGGGGGAAAGGGGGGAGCGGTGGTGGTGGTGGTGGAGGAGGAGGAGGAGGAAGAGGAGGGGGGGGGACACCCCGCAGCAGCCCCGGAGAGGGCTGGCAGCGATGGTACCCCCGTCCCCATCTCTCCCCCGTCCCTGAAAGGGCGGCTGTTGCCGGGATGTTCAGCTGGCACCGCAGCTTCACCCTGGGAGCGCCCTGGAAAAGAGGTGAGTCCGCCCGCCGCCCCCTCGGGGGCTGCCCCGGCCATCCCCCCCACATCACCCCCCCCTTTCCCGGGGCCAGCCGTCACACAACCTCCCAAAACTCGCTCCTCCGCCACCCTCTTCCTTCCCCTTGGCGGCAGCGCAGACGGTACTTAGGGCAAGCCCGTCCGTCCCGTCCCGTCCCCCGCCGGACGGGGCTTCCCGCACCGCTCCCGCCCCGATGCTGCGCTCCCTGCTCTCCGGCTGCCTCTGCCCGCACGCAGGTAAGGCTGAAATAAGCCCCCCACCCCGGGGAAGGATGGTGCTTTAGGGAAGAGATTTGTTTCCCCTCTTAGAACGGGTTTAATTTGCTTTTAAATCGGCTTTGATTTGAGTTAAACTTGATTTAAATCAGCTCGGGGGAGAGCAGCCGGAGAGGTGCGGGATCCCCGGGCGGTGCGTGCCTGCCGGAGGGAGAACCGCTCGGGATGGGGCAAAACCCAGGGAATTAGGAGCTGAGAACCTACGAGCTTGCGTCCCGCCGGGGTTTTACACCAAGGTGGGGAGGATGGGGTCTGTCCCCAGCCTGTCACCGTGCTGGAAATGGATATGGGGTCGCTTTCTAGGGCTGGTACATCCCCATCCACGGGGGAATCCTCATCCCGAGTTCGAGAGGTTTTCTTTGCTCCCTCCTGCTCTGGGCAGAGGAGGTGACCCCAGGTGGGGAAGGCAGCCAGGGTCCTGCAGCAGATCGCTTCTAACTTTGTACAGCTGTTGTGGAAACAAAATGATGTGGTCTCAAACTGCCTTTTTCAGGCACTATGGGTCTGGTGTGTTCTGGGTTTTTTTATATTCCTTAGCCAGCGCTGCAGGCTGGGAGATCACAACCCCCAGGCAGCAGAATCCCCTTAGCATCCCTGTTTCCCCTTCAGCTCAGCTTGTGCCAGCTGTAAACGAGATCTACAGCTTCTCTCTCCACTAACATCCCCGCACGGGGCTGGTTTGCTTGGGATGAAGGTGGCTTCAGACAGGGTTCACCAGTCTTAAATGCGTAACAGCAGGATGGGAAAGATGTTGCAAAATGCCACGTTGGGGTGGTTTTGCCTCCTGGGGTCCTGACTTCCCCTGTGTATGCCAAACTCCTACCTCCTTGGACTGCTGCAGTGCCAGCAGCTCCCATGGAGTCACCAGAACTGCCACGGCCGTGGGCATCTGGTGTGATCATGCTTCCCAGTGCTCCCGCTCTGGGGCAGCTACGCAGAGCTCAGCCCGAGCTGGAGCCTCTCCACCTCTCCGAGGTGCCCGAGCAGGTAACTCCTGGGCACCACGCTAGCAAAGGCTGCTGAAACACGTTTCTCTGCCCGGGGTTGGTCTGGAGACTGCATTTTTACCCAGTGACACAAAAGGCTCTCGAGCAGCGCTGCTGCCAGAGCGCCCCGGCACCACCGCGAGATGTGGAGAGTGTTTGAAGAGATGCCATTTTTTCACTTTATGGTGGAAACCGCTCTGTTTTTTTCCCCCGGATGTAATTTTAAACTTGTTTCCCCCAAGCTATATAGTACAAGCCTGAAGGCAGGGTTAGGAGGGGAAAGGAAGCTTGCTCTTCCACATGGAAGTGTCCCTCATCACCCAGGCACAGCAGCGTCATAGTAGGGGTAGGTGGAAGGTTTGGTGGGAGAACAGACTTATCACACAGAGCACTGAGGAATCAAAGAGGGATTCAGCTAGAGTATCTCCAGATAAGAAACAGGGACAGCATTCCCTAATCACCCCGGCTGGAAAGAGGCACCAAATATTTGTGTCCTGGTTTGGACCCCACCTCTGCTCAGAAAGAGCCAAGAGCACGCTGTATCTTGCAAGCTTTGTGGCAGGGACTTTAAAGTCACATCTCCAAATATGCAGCTGAAGATAGTGAATATAGCTTATTGCAGCTACAGAGCCCTCCATCACCACCTCCTCCTCCTCCTCATCTCACCGAGGTCCAGCAAGAGTAACAAGCCCAAAAATTGTCACCACTCACATTGCAACCATAAAATATTTCAGACACACCAAAGAGTATGGTTCCACCTGCCCACTGCTACCTTGTTGGAGCAAAAGCAGCTCTCTGGGGTTTCGCTTGGGGACAGCAATGACTGAACATGAAGAATGGGTTAATAGTGACCTTTCTGATACCACTCATGAGTTCCTTTGGCTTCCGTTGAAGCACCGGGGTCTTTATGGCTTTGGCCTTCAGGGCTATTGAACAGTTGTTTATCCAAGCTTGTTATAGGCAATAAAACCTGAATTACTACATACTTGTCATCCCTGGGGGGCAAGTTCCATCCTTGCAAAGGGCCTCCTGTCTCCCCGTTCCTTTCTGGCTGAATACTCATTTGTGATATGAGGTAGCCTGCAAATCAGATGGGCAAGGAAAGATTGCCCAAATTAGACAGTTGTTGCCAAGGTGTGGTACACTTTTTTCCGTTGTTTTCATTTTCTGCTCAGACGCATTAGCGAGCTGCGTGCCAGATTATCTTTTGCTATTACACAGGGCTGCTCGTGAAAGCACCCTTTCCTTCATCAAGGTTTTGAACCTCTCTCCTGAAGGAGCACAGGGGGATTTCCAAGGAGAAGGGTTCGCAGGTCTTCAGTGAGAGCTGTCATCTCCCTGACAGTGTCTCACAAATAAGCCCCGTAGGTGAACATGGCAGCTTGAACCTCCCCCCCACCCCAGGAGCAGTTACTTTTCAGAACAGGGAGGCCCTGGGGGCAGATCCTTGTGCACCAAAATTATCCGCAGCCTGGTTTTCCCACCGGGGCCATCTGTCTAAATAAATCAGTTGCAGGGTAAAAGCAGTAAGGAGTGGGAGAGGCTCTAGCTGATGCTATGCACCAGGTCAGGTGTTGGTCTGAAAACTGGTGACTTCCAGCCTACACAAGGAGCTCTGATAAACCAGGTGGTCTGCAGGGACCTGCTGTGCCCTGGGACTTTCTGCCAGAGGGTCACTAATCAATCAGACCTGTCCCTCTGCTTCAGAAACTTCACAGGTCACTTGGAATGAATAGAAGGCAAGCTGTAAAAATGTCAAGTGGCCTCTCTACTTGGAAATCCATTTCCTCTTTAGTTCACCCAACTGTATCCATCAGTAAACAATCAATCTCCCTCTCATTCCTCCTCAAATGCCTGGAAAGAGCTATAATTACCTCCTCCTCTTCCAAAACATACATATTATAGCAATTAATGCCTCTTCAGTTAGAGCCCTTGAACCCTGTTATCTTTCTCTCAGCATGTATTTTATATGGATTTATGATTGCCAGCTGCAGCTACAGGTGATTTATAACATTTCTGGTCACATTATATTACCAAACTATCATCTGGAGGAACTTCACACACTTAACTAACAGGGAGACTGGAGAGCACATTGGAGCTAAATGATCCAAGAACTTTGTGCTTTTTGTTCGAGGACTGTCCAAGATCTCAGTTTTGTTGTAATTATTCCTTTGCATTCAGCATTTCAAGCAAATCCAATTATATCTATCACATGCATTTCAGTTCCCCCAGTTGGATACATGCAAATTTTGAGAACTGGGTCTAGCGTGCAAATATTCAGTTACCCCATGGGAGTGTGTTCCTCTGCAAATGTGAATTTTTCAGTAACAACACGGCCTGGTTTCAGCTGGCAAAGAGTTAATTTTCTTCCTGGTAGCTGCTGTGTTGTGGATTTAGTATTTTTATACATATATATATATAGTTCTAGATGTTGCTGAGCAATGTTTACATTAAGTCAAGGACTTTTTCAGCTTCCCACAGAAGCTGAGAGGGAGCAGAAACAGCATGAGCTGACCAAAGGAATATTCCATACCATAGATGTCACGCTCAGTATATAAATGGGAGTTTGCTGGGGGGAAGGGATCTGTGACCACTGCTTGGGACAGGCTGGGCAAGCAATCACTGGGTGATGAAAGCATTGCATCACTTTATTTTGTATATTCTTTTACCATTATTATTATTATTTTCTCTCCCTTTGCTGTGCTCTTAAACTATCTTTATCTCAACCCACAAGTTTTCCCCCCCTCCTTTTTCTCCCCACCCTACTGAGGAGGTGGGCAGTGGGGAACGAGTTAACAGCTGCTTGGTCCTAATTGCTGCCTGGGGTTAAACCACGACACAATTCCAGTAAAAAAAGAAAAAAAAACCCATAACAACATTCCTATGACAGTGATTTTCAACCTGTCACAAGTTTCTGCCGCTATAGATGAAGGTTGCACTGAAGACACAAGACCTTTCCATTAGCTCCCCTTAGAAATCCTTCAGCTCAGGATTGTCCTAACGGTTTAGGAGATGGGTTTAATGGTTTTAGAGGTTTAATGGTTGCTCAGATTGGGCAGCCCATGGTACAGCAGCATGCTCACAGACTAGCTTTGCTTGAAAGGCCTTGGGAAGGCAGATTGTCTGCAGAAGCTTGGTGCCAAGCAGCACCCCTGCCATCACCAGGACTGGCATCAGGTCTTCTACAGGCATGTAAAGCACCAGGAAGGGGGGAGATACTCAACCCGTGGAAGTCCATAGCAAAGCTCGGTGGAGCTAGATTTCCCTCCCAGAGGCTCAACTGGTAGTGGTTGCTGGGTTTTTTTGGGTAGGGGTTGTTTGTTGGGTTATTTGGGGATTTTTGGCAGCATAAGAGCAATCCAGTTCTTCTAAATATTGGGGTCCTGTCTGTGCAATGACTCCCTGTGTCTATGGGAGTCACAGGGGTATGCAAGGACCACCTCCTGCCCTGCTGGGAAGGTAACACAACTCTGGTGTGGGGGCCAGCTGGTGGGCTAGCACTGGGAAGGAGGTACCAGCACAGCCCCACCACCCAGCTCCACCCCTCGGCACATATGGGGGAAGAGTCAGCAGCAAAAAATGCCTATTGTTTCAGAAAGGAAGTGACCCCTTTTCTCTTAAATGCTGGGAAATCAAGACCTCATCATTGGCGAGAGAAAAAAAATTTAAAAAAAATCTCCTCTTAGCAGTGAAAGGGAAATACCACCTGAGTTGT